GGATTGAAGCTTGGACATTGGAATAGATTAATGATGGATTTCAAGCAATTTTTGGAGTGAAAAGTGTGCTACAGGGCGCGCTTAGCGCGGTCACTGTGCGGTGAAGAAAATTTTGACAGAAGCGAGCACACTAAGCCTGGCCTGACGGGGCTTAGCGCGCTCTAAGGAGGTTTAAATTTAAGTGGGTGTGTGTTTAACGCGCTACAACGCGCTTAGCGCGGTCTGCGAATCTTCTCACTTATATAAATAATTGTCTTTAGATATTTTTTGGGGATGAACACATTTTAGAGAGAGGATTCCAATCAGAACACTATAGAAACAAAGAAATCAAAGAATCGAAGTCGACTCAAGGTCGAAGATTTTGACTCTGACGGTGACACACCTCTCATAGTAAAAAGCTTCATAATATTTCTAAAGCATGATAAATAATGAAAATAGGAACAAGAAAAAGATGAGGAAAACACTTCATTCATCTCCACATGCTACCTACGTGGAAAGAAAAGACACATCAATTCAAATTTTCCTCTAGCAAAAAAGGAGAATAAAATTAAGAATAAATCTAAGAAAGCTAAAAAAAAGGCAAGAAAAATTGTATCACACAAGAGGATAACAATATGTAATCTTGAGATGATGAAGAATAAGCTAACATCTATCTCATGGAAAATCATCTGGATGATGAGGTAACCTCTTAATTTTCTTATCATGATCGTTTTTGAATTTGTAAAAAGCTAGCAAAATAAACAAGTAAATTTAAACAAATTGTCTTTATATCTTGGGCATATTTGTCATTACTCAAAGTAAACATACAAAATATGGGATCCTTGTAGTTTTAACTTCCATATATCCCAGATATTTAATTACCTCTTCCACCCCAAAATAGCTCCCACTTATAAAGATCACATCTCAGCTCTTAAACAATTCCTTCAAAATTAAGCAACTCATCATTTAAAAATGAGCCTCCACGGTGAATAAATACATGGAAGAACTCATCCTTTTTCACATATAAAGAAAACGATACTACTTAATAGACATTTATACAATCATATTACACATTAAGAACCATAACCAAGAGAAAACCCTAAAACTAAGAGAAAATCCCAAAACATAGATTATTCTCCAAAACCAAGAGAAAACGATAAACCCTATACATTAAGATTCAAAACCTAAGAGAGAATGTGTGGATAAATATTAATTTAATAGAACATGAAAACCCAACAAACTCTAAGTTCAGAAGGGGCAAAAAATGAGACTTACCAGAATACTTGTCTTCCTCGTTTCGTTTCAGCAAATACTTGCCTTCCTCGTTTCGTTTCACTTTTGTCTTCATTGTTCGTTATGCATTTCTTTGTTTTCAGTAATATCGTTCTTCACTTCAACCTCAACAATACGGTGTTATGAGAAAATGAAAATGACAAAATCCTAAATGCTACTTTAATTTAAACCTCAATAAATACTACTCAACAAATTTAATTTCGCCTCATCAAATATTATTATACCTAAGCGACAACTAAACTCTTAAATTAACTTTGACATCAAAGACAAACATGAGTCTATTTGAATAATTGAAAAATTAAAATTGACGTTTTTAAAATAAAAGAGGACATAATGAACTTTTCAGAAAGATACAAGTCATAAAAGATATTAAATTTTAAATAAATATTAAAAATGACTAAATTAACTCTAGTTTACATGTCAAAATTTCTTTAAATAAGTTAACAATGTTTGTATATAAAATATAAGATAACGTAATGACTTTTAAATATAATTTTAAATATGATAAAAAGATATTGGATTTTGAAAATCACCAATCATAGAGAATAAGAAAGTTTAATTATATTTTGACTATTATATTCTCTTTATCCTAAAATGAATATTTATTTATAAAAATAAGTTATTTTAAAATGAATATATATTTTAATTGATAATATAATATTAATGATTTTTTTGTTGTATCATCTAATTAATATTATTGGCATCATTTACAATTTAATATCTACAATATCATTTTGTATTTCATGATAAAAGGTGAAACTACCCATCCATGATAAGATATTTTAATAAAAATCATATTTTTACATTTTTCATTTTGTAGCAATCTTAATATATATATATATATATATATATATATATATATATATATATATATATATATATATATATATATATATATATATATATATATATATATATATATATATAAATTTTCGATTTATGTGAATTAATCAACTAAATCACCAATCTTAAGAGGGAGGGGATAAATATACTGTTGTTAAATTTCTAGTATACAGTAATGTCATTTTTTAATAAAATCTCCCTTTCACTCTCAAGTAAAAACATTATATTCTTTAATCTTAAAAATAAGTAAGATTTAATTAATTCTATCATATTTAATTTAAGAGAAAAGAGATTACCAATCATAATGATGTATTATGTTAAATTATCGTGTTATTTTTTAAATATTTTGTGATATGATTGATTAATGAATTCTTATTGAATGACATTGTTAAATTATTTTACAATATTATGAAACAAGTTTCCTCAAAACGAGGATTAATTTAAAAAATAAAAGAATATTTTTTTGTTAGTTTTTTAAAATTAAATGAATTTGATTAGTTTTTAACTATAAATCATAAATTATTTCAAAAACTATCTTTTATATATTTATAAAATAATAAATTAAAAAATAAAAATATTTGATATTATTAGAAAATAAAAGTAGTGCAATATAAAATAGTTTTATATCATTTAATAGAATTATTAATTTATAATAACATTCACATATGTCATAAAAAAATATTTTAAAATTAAAAATGTGATTTGACGGGAGATACATTTATGATTGATTGATATTATAAAAATATTTTATAATATAAATATATTCTTTTTTCTTATATTATAAAAAATAATATTAATACTTCTTTAAGATTAAAAAAAATATAATTTAAGTTTTTAAAAATATTATTATTCTTAAGAATAATATTCCTATAAAAGTGTTTGACCAAAAATTATATATATCAAAAATCTTTATAAATTTTATTTAATTTAAAATATATAAAAATAAAAATAAAAATAAAAATAATATTAACCGAAAGTTATAGATAATTAATTATTATTCTCGTAGGAACGTTGGATTCACACTTTCAAGACATGATAATGATAATAAATTTAAGAAGTTTCATGTATAACAATGTTTCTAAGAGTAAAAGATACCTAAAAATAATTCTTATAAACTTGAAATAAACCTATTGTTTTGTTTCCAATATCATAGGAATATATTTCCAATCTTTAAAACAAATATACCCTAATAAAAAACAGAGGCTATATGAGAAAATTTATAAAAAATAATAAATGTGATTGTTTAATTTATTTTCTTTTCATCCAGTCAAAATTTTTTTCTTTCCTCTTTTTCATCCAAAAAAAATATGACTGCTTTTAAACTTATCCATCAATTAAATTAAAAATTAAATAATTAATCGGAAGTTGTACCACATTTTTAACTGTAGTGACCGTTACTCTTCCAAAACCCCAATCGTGCTTCCACGCTCATCAACCGCATCTACAAACCTGTATGGACGGTTTTGAAAATATCAGTAAATTAAATCATTAACGCTAGTGGGTGTAAAAGTAGTTCTGTCCCCACTTCTCACGCTTCTCTACCGCGTTTGTATAACAATCGCTAAAACTTTTCTTCACATTTCAAAACCATAAAAAAAAAACAAATTTAATTTTTTATTTTTCCCACCTGCAAAAAAGTCAAATTAAAAATAAAATATATAAAAACTGCAACATCATGGAAATTTACATGGAAGAAAATGATCGTGTGAAGAAGAAACTTCATATGAAAAAGAAAGCTATAACTCTTTCACTCACATTGTAGATTGGGTAGGTAACTTGTAATTCAGATTCAGATCGTTGCTCGTGAATTCAACTTGCTTCGTATTCTCAACTGTTTTATTTATTATTTACTGTTATTATAACATGATTTTTCCTTTACCATTACCAATCACAGTCTTTTTCTTTTATTATTCTTCTTTATGATTCTCGGTGTGTCGGTGACGGTTTAATTCTCCATCCTGTTTTCGGTGTACAAAATTCCAAGCTTAAACCTGTACTAGTTTAAGATTAGAATTTACCTGATGAATTTCTAACGATCCAGTAGTTTTGAACTTTGATTTGAAGTTCTTGTAATTTGAAGTATTGTATTATGATTAGATTATGGAGTTTTTTCTCTAAGAAGAACGTGTTTGATTCTTCATAAACTGATTTGCGATGTGAAAAATTAGAGAAGAAGTTTGAATAGTGAAAGCTGAAAAAAAGGTAGGTCCTGTTTGTTAGGGTACGGTGTTTTGAATATTTTTTTAATGATTATTATGTAAAATGTGGAAATCTGTTACTTTATTCTCAAGCATGATTTGTGGAGGTTGGCTGATTTAAAAAGTTTTCTATTCTTAAATTGGTTACTGTGGAAGGAAGGTTTCAAAACGATGAGTTTTGGCCCCATGATCACTTTTCTCTTTTTATTATTCTAGTCTTTTGATGAAGCTTGGTATCAAAGAATGGCTTTTATTTTAAGCACACTAAAAATATGATTTGATTTTGATTTAATCTCTCTCTTAAAACAGAAGTCTTTGTGTTGGTCATGATAATATTTGCCAACTAACCACTAATAAAAACGTAATTAGTTAGCATTCTGTTTTGTCTTGGTCTTTCTAAAGTTAGCTAGATGATGATGATATTGCCTGTTTTTTTTTAACAACCGTAATTAATGGGTTTGTTTCTCCATTGATTGGTCATTCCATCATTATGATTTATGATAATGAATGTATCTTCTTTTTGATGTAGTTAATTTCTTTTAAATGTCTTGCATTTTAGAGAAAGGAAGAATCACTTTAATAATGACATTGAGTCACTTTTTCTTTTTAGGAAAGATGAGTTTGTTTTGAAATGGGGTTAGTTTGTTAATTGAAGTGGAGAGAGGATTTGGATTTGGAAGTGAGAAAATGGGAGCTATTGCGGGAGAAGAGATGTCGAAATGGGAGAAGATGCAGGGAGTGATGAGTGGTTGTGAAGAGAAGATCCTTGTGTTACTGAGGCTTAGGCCTTTGAGTGAGAAGGAAATTTCTGTTAATGAATCTGCAGATTGGGAATGTATTAATGACACTACCATCTTGTATCGGAACACGCTGCGTGAGGGTTCTACGTTTCCTAGTGCTTACACATTTGGTAAGAAAATGTCTCTTTTAAATTTTAATGTTGCTTTATTTTTTGTGAAATTTGTATGGAACTAAGTTGCATTTTATTTTCAGTTGTTTCAGATTCCATTGATTGGAATCTTGACTGGAACAACAGTTGGATTTTAGATTATCAGGTTCATTTCCTTAAAAATTGGAGGGTTTGACCAAAAAAATAAACTTCATTTAACTCTCTCCTTAGATGCATTCTTTTCCTAATTTATCTTGTTTTATATTTTTGATTTCAAACACATTTACAAGTATTTTTTGGGTAAATTTAATCTATGAAATTACTATTAATAGAAACACTACCAGTGTATTTGCATTTTCAATATATTTAGAGAATAAACTGACCTCACTTGTTTACGAGATAAAAATGAAAGTACTATCTGATCTTTGTTATATTTCAAACAACATTTTACATAGTTTTATTAAATGATAATGTTTCAAAGTTTTTTATACCGTGACAAATTGAATTGTTGATAATTTATCAAGAACAGGGTGTTTCTGATATTTTGTTGTGATTGGTGATAGACAGAGTATTTCGTGGTGACTGTGCTACAAGGCAGGTATACGAGGAAGGAGCCAGAGAAATCGCTCTTTCAGTTGTTGGTGGAATTAACTGTGAGTATAAATTTACCATACATGCTCGTTTCTCGTCACGCACCTTCCAAATTTTTGTTAACATAGGTGTTTCATTCATTATGTCAGCGAGTATTTTTGCATATGGGCAAACAAGCAGTGGAAAGACATACACTATGGTTGGAATAACTGAATATGCTGTAGCAGATATTTTTGACTACATAAAAAGGGTATTTAAACTTATATTTCTTTATAACTTGTACTATGCTTGTTAAACTCAAACTCTTCGGTTCATTTTTTCACTATAATTCTTGTTTTTAACATGACAAAGTGCTATTGTCATATGGTTACTACTTTGACTTGTTTAGCATGAAGAAAGAGCATTTGCATTGAAGTTCTCAGCAATTGAAATTTACAATGAAATTGTTAGAGACCTCCTCAGCACTGACAACACTCCACTTAGGCTACGTGATGATCCTGAGGTGAATGCCATTAATATATTTGACAGTCAGATATAATAGATACAAGTTTGATACAAAAGGTTGCCCATAATTAACGTTATTTCATGATATTTTCCCTTTTCTTTAGAAAGGACCCGTTTTAGAGAAACTTACAGAGGAGACTCTGCGGGACTGGGGGCATTTGCAAGAGCTACTATCCTTTTGTGAAGGTAAAGGAGTTTGCATCGCTTTCTTTTTATATGGTTGTTAGTACTCTACAACACCATTATACTCGGTTTTGTTAAATAGTGGCACTATAGCATTAGTAGAATTTGAATAAATTGTTATTGTTCTGCAATACACTATTCAGTACAAAATATTATATCAAGTAGTGGCTATAGCGGTGCTTTTGCATTATGGCGTAACGGTGTTTGAACAAACCGTTATTTTCTGCAACCGTGATTGATAACCTTTAGTATTATATTTGCCTACATTATTCTTGCAGCTCAGAGACAAGTAGGTGAGACATACCTGAATGAAAAGAGCTCAAGATCTCACCAAATTATAAGATTGGTATGTGTCTGCTACAAATATAATGCTTAATATTTTTTACCGGTCAGTTAATAATGCTTTATGTAAATTTTCAGACGATGGAGAGTTCTGCCAAGGAATTTCTGGGCAAAGGAAACTCAACGACCCTGTCAGCTAGTGTAGTAAGTTAACTTTAGATTCATCACTTGTTCAACGGATATAATGATTATGGAATATTATGTCATTATATAACTTGTCTTTATTTCTATGCAGAATTTTGTTGATTTGGCGGGGAGTGAGCGTGCTTCACAGGTATCTTCAGCTGGGGTGAGATTGAAAGAAGGTTGTCATATAAACCGGAGTTTACTTACTCTTTCAACCGTCATTCGTAAGCTTAGGTTGTTCACTTCACCCTTGGAAGTTTAATTTATTTTGATCCTTTCTTCAATACAAATTCAACAACAAAAAGTTTGAAGTTCCATTAACATAATGTGACTGAATGCAGTAAGGGGAGACAAGGACACATCAATTACAGAGATTCTAAGTTGACACGGATACTGCAGCCTTGCTTAGGTGGCAATGCCAGAACAGCTATCATTTGCACTTTGAGCCCTGCGCGGAGTCACGTTGAGCAGACTAGAAACACACTTCTTTTTGCTTGTTGCGCCAAAGAAGTTACCACTAAAGCACAAGTTAATGTAGTGATGTCTGATAAGGCCTTGGTCAAGCAATTGCAAAAAGAGTTGGCCAGGTTGGAAGGAGAGTTAAAAACTCCTGTTACCTCCAATTGCGATTATGTAGCTTTGTTGAGAAAGAAAGATCAGCAGATAGAAAAGGTCATAATTTGCCGTCTGAAATCTTATGCTATTATGTTACTAGTATTGATTGTCGATCAAGTTACATATTCTCTGTTCTTTAGATGGTGATAACTGATAACATGAGTTTTAACTATTCAGATGGATAAAGAGATTAGGGAGCTAACTAAGCAACGTGATCTTGCTGAATCAAGGATTGAGGATTTGCTCCGCACAGTGGGAAAGGAGAAGATATCTAAAAAAGTGAAATACATTTTTGTATATGCCTCTAAATTTTTGTTTACTTGTTTTTGTTCTGCCTAGCATAATATCAATAATCATATTGATTTGGCAGGAAGAAGAAATATGGGAAGATGACTGTTCAGTGTCAGAGTCATCAAGCATTTGCGGTCCCAATACACGCATTAGGGAGTTCAACAATCCTCACTATAATGGTGGAGACAGTGGAAGTTATCGAGATGGTACGTCCTTTTCACTTTTCGCGCCTGTATAGTAAATAAATTGATAAAACCAATGGTCTATTCTTAAGTCGAAAAAATCAGGTCGGTTGTTATACATTTGTTAGCTCTTGCTTGTACAGAAGAAGACCTTGATGAATACTGCAAAGAAGTTCGATGCGTCGAGTTGGAGGAGTCGTGTAGAGACAACTCAGAATATCTCGATCCATCGGGAAATGACAACGGGGATTCGGCTTTGACAGTATCTGGAGGGGAAAATGGAACAAGCCATGAAATATCTACACATGTGAATGAAGACAACCATGATGAACATGTCATGTCAGGAAACATGTCAAATCATAGAAATCTCAAATTAACTAGAAGCTGGAGTTGTTCGGAGTATCGCATGACTGGTTCTCCTGAGACAGGAGAAACGGAGAGGACTCTAGCCAATGGATTTGAAAAAGGATTTCCTGGAAGACCAGATGGTTCGTGGAGAAAGTTCAATACATTAAATTACGATGGTTCCACAAGCTTTTCAAGGAACGGTTCTCAGTCTTCTATTGGAAGTCAGTCAGTGGATGATGAACTTATAGACAACAGCATGGGAATATCTGGTGATGAGGACATTACTAGCATCCATACTTTTGCTGCTGGAATGAAAGAAATGGTTAAACTTGAATATGAAAAGCAGCTTGTTGATGGTCAGGTGAGAATAAATAAATTTCAGAGTTATTGATCTTTTTAATCTTGATGTTTGATTATGTTTTTTAGCACATTCTTTTCTGACTTGTAGGATCAGGAGACAGGAAGAAAACTAATGAAGTTTGATAGAAATGTGAAAGATGTAGGCATTGATCCAATGCTCGAAGCACCGGGAACACCTTTCGATTGGTCTCTGCAGTTTAAGAGACAGCAAAAAGAGATAATTGAACTGTGGCAATCTTGCTATGTGCCATTAACCCACAGGACCTACTTCTTTCTTTTGTTCAGGGGTGAACAAATAGACTCCATTTACATGGAGGTAGAGCTCAGAAGACTATGCTTCCTCAAAGAAACATTTTTTGATGATAACCAGTCTGAGAAAAACAGCCAACCAATCACATTAACTACAAGGTTCACCCTTTCTGTCACTCCTACATTTATTTGAATATGTTATATATTTAGAATATAAGTGGCCATTAACTTGTACATTTCATGTTGACATGTGTGGGACACAGTGTGAAAGCTCTTCGGAGGGAGAGAGAAATGCTTGTGAAACTTATGCAGAAGAGGTTTTCTGAGGAAGAGAGGAAAAGGGTATTCAAAGAATGGGGTATTGGATTGAATTCAAAGCGCAGGCGGATGCAGCTAGCAAACCGTTTATGGAGCAATACAGATATGAACCACGTAATGCAGAGTGCTGCAGTAGTTGCGAGGTTAGTTAGGTTTTCAGAGCAGGGACGAGCCCTCAAGGAGATGTTTGGACTTAGCTTCACACCTCAACTCACACGACGAAGAAATTCATGGAAAAGTACCAGAGCATCTCTTCCATAGTCATTCTTTTTTGTGTGTCTCACATGTGTGTACAGCCTTCAGAGAAAATTTGCGCATCACCATTACTTTAGATGAAAAGCGGTGTGTTTGGTGTTAGCCTCCTGTCTCTGTCCGATGCGATAGCGATACATATATTTGTGTTTACGTCAGGTGTTTGTGCTTCATATGTTTATGATTCATCTTTGTTCAACTGAGAGAAATGTCTCTCCATTGGTATAGAAAGATGCATAACAAATTTGTATTCTGTTGTATATCGCAATTATGGTTTTGTTGTACCGGTTAACAAATTTGACTGTTTTTTCTTTTTTTCTTGGTGCAAATTAAGGTTTGTTTTGTTGTTTGCTTCACTGTTACGTAGACTCTTTTAAACATTTTTCTCACACTGGACAAATGAAAACATTGTCTAATAATGTGTTATTTTTATTACTCATGTATGCATGTACATCAATTTGTTATTTTAAATTAACTGGAGTACATGAAGTAATTATAATGTTATTTAAATGAACTAATCTACCAATGATAAACATTTGAATCAGATAAAGGAATTTTATATCAATGTGACTGTAGACCCAGATTCATAGGTGTAGAATAAGGGCATTAAGAAAACTAGCATCTTGAAGGAAATTTAATGAGTATTCTCTCTCTATATAAACTTTAGCAAACAAATTACCACTAAAAATCTAAATATATATTTAATAAAATATGAATTGTGCTATGTGTTCAAACTGCTTACACATCTATTTTAAAAAAGTTTTAATGATGATCATACCATGTCTAATCAATCTATCCTTTGTAGCAAGTCTCTTATAACAAGTTAGCCAGAGACACACAATTGCCCTTGGCCTAGCTCTATTACAGTAAAGGAGTTTATTCCAAGAAACTGTATTGTTATCCTCGTTCAGATTGACATAGAATTTTCTATAGGAAATTTCTTACAAGTTAGAGCATACTCTCATTGCTGCTGGACCTGAATCAAATTCTCCCTCTGATGCATGATATTCTTGAATATCCACGAGCTATTGTTCCTCACATTAGCTTCCAACACTAATATATTATATTGTTCTTACTAAATAATTCATTAAAAATTGTTGATATATATATATATATATCGCAAAAAAACAAATATTTAATGTTATTAATTAACTTAATAAATTTAAAATGTGTTTATATCTTTAAAATAAAATAAAAAAATAATTATAATATATTAAATTCAACGAATATAAATATTATATATAAGAAAAATATTTATAATTAAAAAATTAATTAAATTTACAATTTCTTAATATCATAGAAATAAAAAAATTACAACAAAAACGTACAAATATATTATATGAAATGAACTCAAACCTAAATTAACATAATTTTACCTCTCACAAATATCTAACGGGACTTGCAGTGACCACTGAGCTAAAAAAATAAATTAAATAAATATTGTCACTAATCAATTAATTAATTAAATTGAGTGTTTTTTTTACACATTTAAAATTAAAAAATGAGAATAATTATAATATAATAATTTAAATATAATATAGACTTAAGAAAAAAGTTGTTCATATCTCTAAATCTTTTTTAAATTTTATTTTCTTACATTACTTTTAAATTGTAACATTTAAAATTATCATTAGAAAATATCAAGAGACATAAATTTGTTATTAATTAATTTGTTTAATTGTGCTAAAAAAAACTCAATCTTGCGGTGCCCACTAAGCTGAAAAAATAAATTAAAATAAATTGAAAAAAATATTATCAATAATTAATTAATTAATTAAATTGAATGTTTTTTTATATATTTAAAATTAAAAAATTGAGAATAATTATAATATAATAATTTGAGTATAATATAGACTTAAGAAAAAAGTTATTAATATCTCTAAATATAATTTCAAATTGTAATATCTAACCTTTTTTTAACATTTAAATGTAGTATCACATTTTTAACTACCAATAAATTAAAAATATTTTTATTTTTATTTTTCGTATTATAGTTTAGATGTTATTTTTTAGAAAGGAGTCACCAAAATTTAAAATTATCATTAAAAAATACTATTCAAATAAGAGACATACATTTACTAATAATGATAATTTTAAATTTTAATGACTCTTTTCTAAAAAATAGAATCTAAACTATAATAGAAAAAATAAAAATGGGAAAGTGGGGTGTTTTTTTTAATTTATTGATCGTTAAAAATGGATCACTATATTTAAATGTCTAAAAAAAAATGGATCACTAAAAATGGATCACTATATATAAACAAATTTTTTTCTTAAGTATTGTTAGTGCGTGAGGCACTTTTAGTGAAGAGAGAAAGAGAGAATAATAAAGGAAATAAGAATTTGTATTATTCAATTGTACAAAATAATGATACACACTATGACTATTTATATATAATCCTAATTGAGCTTGGGCTAACACAACTTAGATTATATTAAATATTAAATCTAATCAAATTTAATATAATTTAATTTAATATTTCAACACACCCCCATAATCCAAGTTGTCGAACATTCTCAAAAATAGTCAATCTGAACTATTTCTAATTTCTTTCTCAAATTCAAGAATCAGCCGATCTTCAATCTTTTGGTGAAAATGTCGGCAAACTGTGCTTCACTTGAGCAATCAATGCCTAACTTCAAGTTCACCTTGATTTACTTTTTCCTTCAAGAAGTGAAACCCTGCTTCAATATTTTACTTCTTCCATGCAGAACTGGATTCTTCGCCAGATTTATGGCTAACTTGTTGTAGATTTGCAATACTAGAGGTTTCTTCACTTCGACAATCATTTCTTCAAGTACAGATCTGACCCAAATTGCTTGACATGCATCATAGGATCATGCTATATATTCAGCTTCACACCATGACAATGTCACCACACGTTGCTTCTTCGAACACTATGAGATTGGGGCACTGATAACGCAATTTTATATAGTATATTTGATTTAATTTTCATAGGTAATGTTAGTATTTTTATCTAATTATTTCATTTTATTTCCATATTACGCCGGTATTTCTATTGTTTCAGGTATTTTATTTTAATTAGACAAATTGAGCAAAGTGAAGAAATTCAGGAGTTATTGGACTAAAGGTGCAAGAAATGAAGAGAAGGGGTGTGCAAAGCAATGATGATGGATCAAAAAGGGTCTATTATCTCCAAACGGGCCCAATAGAATTCAAACCCACGCAGGCAAGAAAACCCTAAGAGCACATGCAAGAGTGAGACGCACGTCTCAACTCTCCTCCTACAATTGAGGCGCCCGCCTCGGACTTTCCCCTTAGTGGGAGGCGCCCGTCTCAGCATGGTCAAAGGAAGAACAAGTCAATTGGGGCGCCCGTCTCAACGTGGGCAAGTAAGAAACGAGAAATTCAAGGATACGTGGGACACAAAAATATCTGAAGAGGTGGTTACGTTCAAGGACTATAAGAAGACATTAGAAAGTGAAAATTGGGACCGTTTTTGCTTAGAATTTTTCCAGTTTTCAGAATTTTTACTTTCATTACAATTTACTAGTTTTCAGTGTAATTCGATTCCGAGTAGTTATTTTCCCAGCCAGTTTTCTTTTCCTTTTGGAATACTTAGAATTTATTCCCGTTGAAGAACGAAGATTCTGTACGGATTGATTCAAGCTTCAAAGATTGTTTCCAGCATTATTTAATTCAGGTTCTTTATTTATATCCTTTAATTAATTATTTGCATGAGAATTTTTATTTAGCCATGAATTTATTTATGATTATTAATTCCTTTAATGTATCCATGTCCGTTTTTCTGAGTATGTCTGGCTAAATCATTTAAATATCGGTATGTAACGAGTTAATTTGAATGGATCCGGAATAAACAGGCTTGATTATATTCATAAAATAAACACTTTTTCTGATTTAGTTATCTAGTTTATTTTGTTAAAAAGGTTTAGAAACCAACAGAGCGACCGTTTGAGGTTAATAAACCGACTAAGATTAGAAACCAACAGAGCGACAGTTTGAGGTTTAGAATCAGATAGTAGATGCTAGGTATTGTTTTTAAAGACTGCGACAGCGTTTTAAAACCAATTAAACTTTATTTATTTTCAAAAAGTAATTTTAAAATCAATGGGATAGCGAAAGCATACATCAGAGTTTAAAATTATAATTTACTTCAATAGAGCGAAAGTTTGAGAATAGATTTTTGAATAAATACTTTTTGCTGAAAAAGATATTATTATCATTTTTAGAAAACAAGCCTGTAGAAAGCCGGATTCTTTAGTGTTAACGACGTACATACCGATATTCGCATTATTATTATTTCAATTAGAATTAAGTTTTATTACCCAAAAATTCCCCAAATTAATTATTCGATAGCTATAGCTTTACACAGTAGTTTAGGTTACGTTAGTTCGATTTAAGTCCCTTAGGTTCGATATCTTTTAAAACTACGCGATAGGGCTGTATACTTGCAGTCTCCCGATTAATTTAGACGATAAAGTCGCGATCAAGTTTTTGGCGCCGTTGCCGGAGACTATTTAAGTTGATATCATAATTTTATTACGAAGTATAGACTATAGCAACTATTTCTTTTCCCTCTGTGTATGCCAAATACTCGCTCTCAAGGCGCGCCTTTGCATATACCTATATACGATATCGAGCGTTACCTTAGATTAAGGAGACGAATTCAAGAGTATTTAGAACGCAACAACCTTCCTCCGACCAAACTTCCTGACGTTGAAGAACTCAAGAAGATGGCTGATCCTGATGCTCCTGCTCCTCGTCCTCTTAAGGACTACGCTGTTCCTTCTCAAGCAGAGCCTCATAATAGTATTGCTGCTCCTGCTATCGCTCGAAACGATTTCGAGCTAAAACCTTCGCTTCTTTCCGCCGTTCAGCAGAACCAGTTTTCTGGAGCTCCTACTGACGACCCGAATCTTCATCTGTCAGTGTTTGTGCAGTACGCAGACACTGTAAAAGTGAATGGTGTTAACCCCGAGGCGATACGATTGCGCCTATTCCCTTTTTCTCTCAGAGACAGAGCTCG